CTCTCTCTCTCTCTCTCTCTCTCTCTCTCTCTCTCTCTCTCTCTCTCTCTCTCTCTCTCTCTCTCTCTCTCTCTCTGCATGTGTGTGTGTGTGTGGGCGCGCTGTACAGTGCGGCATGGATGCAGTACCTGAAATGAGGGCCCAATGGAATATTACAGCTAACTCCAGGCGCTTGCAACGCAGGCTTCCAGATGTTCAACCTGTCATACCTGAACACGATCTCAAACATGCTCATTTGCAACATGGCTCATCCAACTGCTCGCGACATGGTGGCAAACTGTGTGAAGAAAAAGGGTTTGGAAAAAATGCAAGTTTGCCAGATCGCAATGGGGTCAGGCATGATCTTCGAGGCCCTGATAAAGTAGAGAAGAGGAAGGACGATGTGCAGCAGCAGATGCCTGAACAGAAAGGAGAAAAAATAGCAGAAGGGATGGGAGTTAAACTCCGCCCAGATCCGGACGGTGAGGAGGTGGGTGATCAACAGGCCAAAGTTGGTGGCGAGAAACATAGTTCTGTCCAGAAGGATTCAGTAAAGCCAGAAGTTGACAATATCGAGGAACAACAAAATGAGAAACAGGTGAGCATTCATCGTATGATATATGCATGCCTCTGAAAGCCACCTGCATTCTTCAGGCCCAGAGCCTCTGAGACCGTTCATTGTATGATCTGTGCATGCCTTTTGAAAGCCACCTGCATTCTCCAAGTGTTCTTGCTGCCTAGACCTGACCCGGACCTACACTTCAAAACTTTTTCCCACCACACCCTACCCGGACCCACTTTTTGAAAAATTATCAGCACAAAACTGTTTTTCAGATTTTCCAATCTGGCCCAGCCCGACCGGGAACCCAAAACAATCACAATAGTACCCAACCCAGCCAGCATCCACAGGGAAACCACCCATGGCAGCAAACGACCCCAACTTCTTGGATCAAAACTGAAACTGAGGTCAGCCAGGCTCGAAACTGATGCGCCGTTGCCTTCTTTTGAAAGTCGTAGACGTTTGTGCCTTCTTCCCACAAAGACAAGATACCCTAATCACGAACGTATGTAGTCCATGTGCGAGGATCAGGGTCCTCGGTAGGCCTAAGGGGCCCTGTTTGCAAGCATTGCCTGCCCTAAGTGAAGGCGGAGGTGCACGCCCTATGTGAAGGCGGGCCTAACATATCGCAAGAGGCCCTCGACTGTCAATTTCATATTTGGGGTCCAGGCAGTTGCGACGCGCCAGTTGGTTGAGAGAAACTCAGGCCAGGCAACAAAGACATTTCCATGGCCCTCCGGGCTTTTCCAAAGAATGCAGGCCCTGGGCGTGATTCGCAGCCTCATACAGAGACAGTTGGGCACCCAACCGAATGAGGCCCAGCAGCCCAGTAGCTGCTGTATACAGGCAGCCTCCTGGGGCCTTCCGGAAGCTTCGGGGCCCAGGCCAGTCCAGCCAGGCTGCACGAGCAGGTCGGCTCTTTCCATATAGGGAAGAGCTCTCCTCTTGCAGGGGCATTTGGTCACTTGCTGGCTGGCGGCAGCGCTGTTGGAGCGATAGCTCGCGGGCTGGCTGCTGCCATTGGGAGCAAGAGGCTGCGCACGTGCGGTCGTGTGGTGAAGCAGGGCGCTGCTGAGGGCCGCGCCATAGCCAGCCTTCATAGCAGGCTGGGCTTGGATGTACAGTGAGGCGCAGGGGTGGTCTTCGGGTGTAAGAGAGGAGAGACGTGGGGGGATAGGTGAAGGATGATGATGATGATGATGTGAGGGCACTTACCGTGTATTGGCGATGGTCTGCATGGGCGACATTTTCAAGTACTTCGGGTTGCTGCTGATGTCAACAGTTGCATTGTCAATTAGTAGGCTGTAGTAGCTGTGTTAGGAGTAGGCTGGGCGCTGAGCGCTAAGTAGGAGAGTGAAGGGACTGGACTCTTGTGGTGATGAGGAGAGAGTATGCTCTCCATGACATTGGTTTTCAGTACTATGAACCTCCATTCGTGTATTATTGGTGCAATGCTGCTCTCTGGACACGGTGTGACTATCTGGCTTTCAATGTGATGGTGTAATCTGGAATTGTCATCTAGCTGTTGCTTATTTTCCTGGCAATTTGGTATCGGAGCTGGTTCATATTGCGCTTCATTGGTTCTTCGCAATAGCTATTGGTGCTTCGCATGAGGTGTGGAGCAGTGATAAGGCATTGGCGTTGAACATTAGGCGGCCCAGGGTAGTGTGGGCGCTCCAGGGAGCTATGTGGTGACATACGGGGTGTATGCTGGATGATGAGAGCTCGCTGATGTGACATATTAAGCCGAGGTGGAACTGCATTCTGCTGTTGGTTGTGCCGAGGCAAAGACCGGTCATCATAAATACACATCAGGTTGCCGGTGAGAAATTTGTGGTTGGGGGCAGCATTATGAC